TAAGTTTAATTAACGATTAAAAAAAAACGAATTCTTAAACAATAACAAGGTATACCACATGATACTAAAATCACATAAACGCTCGATATCCAGGCTAAGGACCTCTCGCCCGTCTTTCGACAATACGGTTACTTGACTCAGAAAACGTCACGAATGTTTCCGTAAAGTCAGTAAAATAATACCGGTCTCCGTTTGTCTCTTACTATTTATCATTCGCTCTAGAAACATTTCATCTTTCAAATATCGCGATGCAATGACTTACTTCGAAAGAAAACCTAAGATTGTGTTTTAAAGGATCAGTTCAGTATTTTCACGGGCAATCTCTATCAAACAATAAAGTATAAACTCGTTTTTACGTTTTTCTATAATATTAACATTACTGTACAAAATTCAAAACGTGAATAAACTTTCGTTATTACGCCCGCTCATACAATAAAGTTCACTTTAAGAAGTTTTGTTATACTTTTATCACTAGCAGTTTAATTGCCATTTCTCCGAAAATTAACGTTATTATATTATCGTAAGATGATGTGTACATGAAATACTTGCTTTTGTTCCCTTCGATAGGAGGCTAAGTGTATCGACGAGTAAGTTAACATGAAGAATTAAGTTAACAAAATAAGTATGATGCATTAATATGTGGCAATTAACAGAGCGACACACTCGTCATTGCAGGCAAACGGTTCCGTACATAAACTTGCAGACTTGACACAGTGTATATTTAGTAGGAAATTTGGTCCGACAGTTCTTTACTAACTGCTGATTGCTTTTCAATTACATGCCATCACATGTGAATCGTGGCTGCTGTATAACGTGCTTCCCCTCTTCTCCGCCAACTCCATTGACTTGGCCGATACTATTCAAAGAAAAAAAAAGGAACATCTATTCTGAATGATCTATCAGCTTTTAAGAAAGAAACGTTAATGACTCTTACCCTGATTAACATTTGTCCAGATGCACTATGAGGATTGCGGTAGGCATATGCAGCCCACGCTGCTAAACCTACGGCTAAAGCAATTACAAGGAGAATTCCAATAATTCCTGAAACCCCCATGTTCATATTATCCCGAGCTGAAAATGTAAATGTAAAAGATTATCGTGAGAATATTTCGAACGATGGTAAATGTGTAAATAAGGAAAGTGGGGAGAATCTTACAACGCTCCAAAGAACCCGTCTCGAGTTTTACAGTAACAGTCTCTTCTGAATGCATCTGAAGAACATGATTATATTCTTCTTCGTGTTCTTTGCACGTGGTAGTCGGCGTCGGGCAATTGTCGACATCTTTTATCATCTGGACGTCGCAACCTTTCAACAACCAATCTTGCCGCGACCTGAATGTTCCGGTGCTACATTGATTCAGTTCTGAACACCACTTGCAATCGAAACCTTTCAGCTTCGTCAAGCAATCTCTGCAATTATCCATTTCTAAGCAGGTGGGCAGTGCATTCAGATAAATCACTGTCCAATTCTTAATGTCCTGTCGATTAAAGTTTACACGATGATACTCGTAAATTGTTTTTCTGCGAACAACTGTGAGGAAAGGAAAATAAACGATTCGATTATTGTCTGAACGTTCTGTCGAAACTAGATAACACCGATCACTTACAGAATACAATTCTGTCCATGATATAAGCATCGCTGAGACCAACTTTAACAGGATGCGCCTTGTCTTCGATCAATTCGACCATCAGGGGAATCACCGAATACACGAACACGATGTCGCCGTTCCAATGCAGAGTCACCTGAAATGTGAACGCGCCAGCCTTTGGTTTGTCCTGTAAAACCACCTTCTCCCACACCACCGTAAACGCCGTTCCTGCAATTAACAGTTCCCCTCTATTTACAATTTCTCTACTCTCGCGAACGAGCATTTCCTCTGTCACCATTGTTCTACCAGCTACTTACCACTGTCGGCGTATTTTACGTAGCTATCGCTCGACAGACGCGTATCGAAGTTCGCCATCAACGGTGCTATGTACTGGGTGGCAGCGAGCCAGCTATGAACGTATTCCCCGGTGTACAGAAATCCTCCAGTGGCAATCGTGATGTTACGAACTTTGTGACCGTAGAAAGGGAAATCGAATTTCAATTTGACCGTCTGTTAAAAGAACGAAGGGGTAAACAAAAATAAAGAGAAGAAAAGAAACACATTTATCGACGAATGCATCGTTTCTCAACGACAGAAGACACCTTCTAATACTCACCGCAGCACGACGGTGACTTTGACTGAGCAAATGATTCACTTTTAGATCCGGATGATTATCTATGTCCACCCAGTACTTTTTCCCCACTTCCTCGTCGATAATGAACGTGCTGTTGTAATACTGATGCGTGTCCAACTCTGTCTTTGTGATATTGTGCTGGGACAGAGTCTTGTTCGTCAGATCTGAGAATTTACTGATAGATATGTCCCCGATATTTCCATCGGTCTCTTCTTTTTCCGAATCCGTCGATTCGGTATCTGTTGCTTTCATCGTGGTTTTCTGGTTCTCGGTTGGTTCGTTCGTCGTGTTGCTCGTCGGATTAGTCACGGTTGCTGTTGGCACCTGTTTCGTAGAAACGGAATAGAATTAATTTTTCAAACTACTTTTTTTTTTTCAGAAGCAATCTAGGATTGTAAAGAAACAGTCTAATTAAGAACACCCCAGTGGTAGGCTTTTCCCAATATCTTACCGAATCCTTTATCGAAGGGTTCTTCTGAACGATAGGTATGCTTATAGACGGTTTCGGAGGGTTCTTTCGCGGGATAGGTACGCGCATCGAAATTGCACTCGTGGAACTCTCCTGATTGCCCATCGAAGGCATGGTCGTGGCTTCGGTCGTATAATCTGTCAAATACGTGATGTTTGCCGAAGATGAGGCATTTACATTCGTATGCGGTGACAGTTGCTGCTGCGGTTGAGTCGGTGATTGTGGTTGCAACTGCTGAGACGCAGCTTGTTGCTGTTGCGGCGGCTGCTGCTGCTGCTGCTGCTGTTGTTGTTGTTGTTGTTGTTGTTGCTGTTGCTGTTGCTGCTGCTGCTGCTCTTGCTCTTGCGACGTTTGCTCGGTCGAGGAGCTCGGTTTCTGGTTGATAGCAGCTCGACGATATCTCGCGAATACTTGTTCATCGTCGACTGCATCTTCGTCGGATGCGAAAGAGAATTCTAGCTGCCCGTGCTCGGCCGGCGACTTTCCCCCTGAGTGGTTCAGCTCATAACGGTATCGACCTGAAACGAATCGAAGAGATAAGAGATACAAGATCTGAAGAACTTTTTTCATTCACGATACACCGCTACGGTGGAACGAACGAATGAAACCAAGTGTATATCATCGTCATTGCAAGATTCGATGTTCAGTTCGACTGCAGACAGTACATGGGCGCGAATAAGCAACGGGTAGTCATGGATTCTCATCGCGACGATAACGCGAGGATAACGTTACGATAATGCGATACATCGCGTCTCGTCGTACGACGATTCGAATCAATTTATGGATCGCATACTCGACGGTCTGCTTATGAAAGGGGTCGTCCGCTCGATTTATACGCGAGCCTACATTAAGCGTCCAGTCAGTGGCCCAGATCAGTATAAATTCCAACCATCGATGCCAATGTTTCTCCATTAAGCGTTCCTCCTCCTTTTGCTTATGCACATCGCGCAACTTTATTCCGTTCCGTGTATAACGATCTCAAATTCGTTAACGCAGTCAGAAAACGTAGAGATTTAAAAGGAACGAGAATAACCGAACAAATTTCACCAAATACATACATAGGCATCGTTCTATAAAACTGTATAAAACAGCGACATCAAATAGACGAATATTTTTTCCGTGCGTTTCGTTGTTGTTCCGTTTCTTCCCTCGAAAGTGGAAGCAACGGAATACACGTCGAAGAACAGGATGCCAGCAGGTCGTGACAAACTATCGCGACCGGATAGAGCAATAATTGGCGATCCGACAGATAGTCGAGAATGCACGAAGTCTGACGTCAGTATAAATTTTCATGCTCTGAAAGCTGGCTCGATTAAACGTTCAACTCCCAATCGTTGCCCGGCCCCCCAACAGTCTGTCTCTAAAGAGACGCCAATTTATTCGAGCGTCGTTCGCCTCGCGACTCGCGACTCTCTTTTGTCACGATTGATTATTCTTACGCGACTCTGAAACGAAGTCGTGTCGGCGGTGGTGGGTTGCCAGATATACAGATGAGTATAGTCCTTCGTGGCGAGCGGAGTTCGACAACACGAGTGCGAGCTTTCAGGCCTTGAACCAACTCGATCTGAGAGAAATTTCGAATTCTAACGACGTCGTCGTGTGCACGTAGTGTAGTCTCGTCACCACTTAACCATCTTCTTTAGCTTTCGAACAAAAGGACGTTTTAATCACGATAAATATTATTTGAAATCGAGCCTTGGGCAACCTTCGAGTATCTTCGATAATACTTTGTAATTTCATTTTCCAACGATCGGCTAGATTTCATCGAGAAAGTGCAAAGGGAAGCTTTGAGATCTTCCGAGATCTCCCGAAACGTTCTAGACTTTGGTGTAAAGATGATAAAAAAAAACACAGAGTAGAAACGGTGAAGATGAGAAGTAGGTTGAATGGTTAGAATGCGATAAACGTATTCGTGTTCCATATATGTACATATGTACATCGATCCATTGAATATCCTTGACTGAGATCGATAAATCTTGATGCTCGCGGGGGAAATTGCCGACTATGTAATTTCCATTCACGTCAAATAACTCTGTTCCATGTTTCACGAGCGAATCCAGGGTCTTGATTACTCTCGTTCATGAACACCGTGTTCCCGTTCCTTTCCAATAAACAAACGCCGTTGCGCGCACCTTCGCTAATTAACCTCTCAAACGCGGGATCCGGAATATTTGACACCCCGTGTGCAAACGCGTGCTTGGTCGATAACCGGTTAACAATTGCAAACAAGCGTGTTTAACGCGTATATGTATGTACATGGTGTTATCGTCACGAGCTACGCAATAAGCGGTACAGTATATTCTCCACAAGTGTCAGACCGCAAGGAAGCTAAACCTGACACTCGTAGAGTCAGGGACTACGTTTTCGAGCCTCGCGCCCGCCTTTGTAGTTTGCCGAACGTAGGCAAGGACAGCGAATAAAAGACAAGCATGAAACGTGAGTCGAGGCAACCAAGCGATTTAAATATCGACTTTTTTCATTTTTCTGATGAAAATCACATAAAACACGACATAATTTGAACAACATTTACTTATTAACACGTTCACTGTCACGCCAGATTTACAGGTTGCTGTCAGGCGGCCAAAATTCTCGTATATATTCCGAAAACCGATTTTTAATTGCGAAACACTACTGAGACGGTTTAATTTGGGGCAGCCAGCTCATATTTGAGCTGGCAATACACAACACAACTAACTACTAAACCAAATCACCAGAAAAAAACCCATTTTTGTAACTCACTGTTCGCTGATTAAACAGCTGAGCTCTGCAACGTGGATTTGACTGCATTTTCTCCTTCCTTCCACTCAAATTGTCATCCTTCCTTCCTTCCTCCCAGTTCCGATTGATTTTGCAAGATTCACAAAGTGTGAGTCACTGTGGAATGGACGACGTGAAAAGTACTTCGAAACGCGATTTATTTCAGTTTTATTCAGAAAGGGAGAAACCGCGAATTTATATTATTTTCAATATTATTATTGAACTAAACTTTCGTAGAACGCGAGTGAAAAATTGAAAGAATGAATATAAGAAAATTTGAATAAAATACGCGACGAGAATTGGGGAGAAGCATAAGTTAAACGCGTAAAAATATTCAATAATAAACGAACTAGGGATGAAGCTATTATTTCAATACGCGATGCACTGACTCTAGTATTTACTAAAATTCAAAAATTCTCGTATAAATTCCGAAAATAGATTATTAATTACGGTAAACTACTGAGACGGTTTAATTTAGGGTGGGCATAGTGCACTCGTTCCAAATCAGCTCACAATATACAATAATAAATCAACTAACTACTCAGCATGCAAATCATGCAAATTCGTTGGATGGTAAATTATTAGTAAACAAAATTCAATATCAGAGAAAATATATGAAAAATTTCAAATTAATTTCAATTGCTGGAAGAAAAGTAACGAAAAAGCAACCTCTCAAAATAATTTCAATATCCTATTCGACAAGTCTGAAGAACAACGATGACTAAAATTCAAATGTTTATTTCCCTAAACCTTCAACATAATTTCGAAATATTTTATTCGAAGCGGAGTATTCCAAGTCAGTATCGATAATTGAAGAAATTATTTGATTGTATTTAAAAGAACCGAAAGGAGAATATTTAAAGTCTGATATTAAATGTCTAGCAAGTACCAGTAATTGGTAAAATGATTTATATTTGTTTTAAAAGGAAAATTTCTAATAGGTATTAGTTAAAATGAATTGTTATTCAGTCTATTGTATTGAAATTCTAATTGATTCTAATGTATACAAGTGTTACAAGAAGGCTGAGTGTGTACAGGGTGGACATAGGCTAGCTAGTAGCCCCCGACCACTCTATTCACATCTCAGAACCTTCAGGTCAAAATATGCCGCGAAGTGTCTATGGCCCAGTATAAAGGGTGAATAAATTCGCGGGACATCGGGGGGTCCTTATATGCCTGCGGTACCCTCTCCCCAAAGTCATTAGCAAAATCGTCGGTTAGGTCAGGCGGGAAATTTTCGCGGGAGATTTTCGCGGGAGATTTCCGATATCGTAACACGGTATAATTTATCAATTTTCACAATTTTGTTATAAATTTATACTTCCGACAATTTGTTATAACATTGCATATAACAATTTATACGTTTTTACAATATTCTTCAATGGAAACATAGGTTTTAGCGTTCTCGTTACTTACTCGTGGTTAAATTAATTTCGTAGGGATTAAAAATCAGGTTGACCTGTGGTCGTAGATTAAGAATAACCATAGTACAGCTAAATTTATCGTGTTAAATAATTCTTCTTACACGAATGAAAAATGTATTCAACGTTTGTCTGTTATAATATCGTGAAATGAATTATTTGTGCAGTTCTGTGCATTTTCTGTGCAGTTCAACCTAATTTACTTAAATTTACATTGCGAGACAGTATACTGTAACAAGTAGTAACAAGCAAACGTTGAATAAATTCCTAATTCGTATTAAAAAAATTATTTAACACAATAATTTCAGCTTTATTATGATTATTCTTGATAAATGAACACAGGTCAACTTGATTTTTAATCGTTATAATCTTTAAATTCAGTGTGAATAGAGAAAATGTGTAATATAATTCATTTCACGATATTATAACTAATAAACGTTGAATACATTTTTGATTCGTAGGAAAAGAATTATTTAACACGATAATTTTAGCTGTACTATGGCTATTTTTAATCTACGACCACAGGTCAACCTGATTTTTAATCCTTACGAAATTAATTTAAGCACGAGTAAGTAACGAGAACGTTAAAACGTACGTTTCCATTGAAGAATATTGTAAAAACGTATAAATTGTTATATGCAATGTTATAACAAATTGTTAGAAGTATAAATTTATACCAAAAAATTGTGAGAATTAATAAATTATACGTTATTATAACATTACAATAGAATGCAAAATAGAATTACGAAAGAATCGGCGATTTTCTGCGAAAAATAATTGATTCCCGCGAAAAACGAAGGATTTCCCGCGAAAAGTGACCGATTCCCGCGAGAAATTATCGATTTCCCGCGAAAAGTGATCGATCTCCCGCGCAAAGTAGTCCGTTTCCCGCGCAAAGTAGTCGATTCCCGCGAAAAATAGTCGATTCCCGCCCGAATTATTAACGACTTTGCTAATGATTTTGGGGAAGGGGTACCGCAGGTATAAATAGACCCGCGAGCTCCGGCGAAATCATTTACCCTTTATACTGGGCCCTAGACACTTCGCGTAATTTTGATCTGAGGGTACTGAGACGTGGGTAGGGTGGTCGAGGGCTTCTGGCTAGCAGCCTATGTCCACCCTATACACACTCAACTACCTTCTCTCAAAATTTCTTTCTGAAATTTACTATTAGACTTTGAATACTCTGCTTTGAATTTTTCTAATTTTTCTAATTATTAAAACTTAAACTTGGACTATTCAAAGTCTAATAGTCCACTATTTACTACTGAACTACTGCTACTTTTTGCTTGAAATAAATTTAAATAATCCTTCGGGTCGTTAATACACGCGAGAAAATT